GCAAGCTCCCCGTGGTGTATTCGATATGCCAAAACCAGTAACAATAACAAGTCTCAGTCCCCTGACCCTGAAAGAACCTCCAATTATTGGGAAAGACTAGTAAGGAGAGGCTGCTGAAATCTCAGGGCTGGGATGAATAGAGACGTTACTGGCACCCACTTGAGTAAATTGACGAATAACGGGATGACAGTGATACAGTGATATATATAGAGAGAGATATATAGATATATAGTAATGTATGTATAAGTGTATTTCTCCCCTAAAATTTGTTACCTTCTGCTTTAAACCCCATCAAGTGTGCTGTGCTACCTTGGAATATGAGTGGTGTGAGGTATGAGATGTCCGGGGATAGGTTTACTCATGGATGAGGCTCGGCCTCACTCAGGGAGCCCCAGAAAGTGCAAAGTGAGGAAAGTGGCTGCGAGCATGGCAGAGGTTGAGGTCTGCAGGTTTTCAGCCTCCTGGGCTGGGTCCCTTGGGGCAAGAAGAGGCCTCACCTGCCCTGCTCCTGAGTGCGAGGTCCCCCTGTTTTCAGCAACTTGGCAGTCATGCCCACATGTCACCTCTGACTGTCTCCAGATAATCTCATCAATGGCCAGAGACTCATAATTCTCTTGGAAGAGACCATCAAACAAATCATTTGCCTATGGTACAGCCATCTCAGCTGTGACCCTGATTCAAAATCCTGGCTCACATATAGTCCCTGAGATCCACCAGAGGTCACTCCTGAACCAGAAATATGCCCTGTGCATTGCCAGTTGTGATCTGACCCCCTAAATTAATTAATTAATTATTAATTACTTTAAATAAGAAAGACTAGTAAGATACGACTCAATAAAAATAGCTTCTTTTTTTTTTAAAGGAAGAGATATTTTAATTGCACGGACACATTAAAGAATAAAAGAAGCTTTATAGGAAAATAAACCTGAGGATTCAGATGTTATGTTGACAACCCATCTTAAAATTTTATTCAGTACTTTGATAAAATAGCTTTTCTTTTTAAAGAAATGTTTGCTATTCAAAATATCCTCTTTCTAACATTACACATTGATTATGTCTTACAGTTTCTCCCTAGAGTTGTTAAATATCCAAAACAACAATTATGATTAGAGTTCTTTTTTTCTTTATTCCATGGAAGAGCAAATATTTCAAGGGACTAGATAATTAAATATGATCAATGAAACTAACAATTTTACCGAGTGTTCAAAGGTCCCAGACATTTTCCCGTGCATTACTCATTTAATCCTCCAAACTTTACAAAGAAAATCTTTTTACTCTGTTTTGAAGCCAAAAGAATCAGAGTTCAAGGAAGATAAGAAACTTGTACAAGGACACACTTGCAAATGGTATGACGTAGATGTGAAGTTCAGTCAGTATTTTTTCTGTTACACCACTTAGTACTTATTTTTCCATAATTGTGATTCTTATAAGTAATGTATAATTGTTCTATTATGGTAAATTAGAGTGAACAAATGTCCCAGATCTGCTTTCCCCAGATGTAGGATTTGGTGCTAAAACTCAGCAAGTTCCAGAAAAGCAAGGCAATTGGTTCCATTTAAAAACTCAAAAATTTTCAACGAGATGGATTCATTTTCATAAATCACATTAGTTGTCTTTCAGCTTTCTACAACAGTATAATTTACTGTTTGCTTCTTGATATAGTGTCAAGTAGCAATGTTAAGTAATGTTCCCTTTTTACCTACCAATGTTACAGAGACACAAATATACCTCCAAACATTTCAAGTTTTTTTAGAACTTGAAAAAACGTTAATAAAGGAAACCAATTCTTGCAAAGCAATTTTAACTTGATTGTATAGAACCAAATACAATCCAAAATGAGAAATACCCAACCCAAAGTGACAAGTGGTTCTTTAAAGGGACTGGTTGATTCATTCTCTTTAGCCATCATTTAGTGAATATTTAATATATACTAGATAATACAGCACATATTAGACATTTTATATTATTTTATTTACATTATTTCACATCATATAACAATTTATTTTCAGAAATGTATCTTTTTAAAATAAGGAAACTCGAAGCCAGAGAGCAGATACAGCTATTACTTGTCTTGTACATGGTAATGGTAGAATTGAGTTTGATCCTCAGCATTCCATATGGTCCTCTGAGCACTGCCAGGAGTGATTCCTGACTGCAGAGCCAGGAATAACCCCTGAACATCACCGGGTGTGGCCCAAAACCAAAAAACGAAGCAAAACAAAATGTATAAAATAAAGTAACTTAAGGACTGAGAGAATAGTCTGTCTTAGAGAGTTGGAGCAAATGTTTTGCGTGCCAGAGGCCTTGGCACACAATGTACTGTCTGTGTGCACCCTAAGTATTATGCCAAGAGTAGCATTGCTGGGTGTGGCCCCCAAATAAATAAATAATGTGAACATTGAATAAATAAGGAAATTCAATTGCAGAGAAGTTTGCCTGTATTTACTAATCAGTGACATATATAAAAAATATATATATAAAACCCAATTACCTGAATTAAGAATATATATATGTATGTATACACACACACACACACACACACATATATATATATATATATATATATATACACGATTACCTGAATTAAGAGTTATTGTGCCCCAGAAGCTGGAGAAGGGAGCAGACATCCTGGAGTGAGTCACGGCTACCAGACCTGCTCTACAGCATCCATCCTCAAATTGGCACTGGCCATGGAGAAATCCTTCAGGAGGTCAAAGAGGAAATCAAAGGAAAAATAATAAGATCCTCAGGAAAAATGAGAATTAGGACATAAATTATAAGAACCTATGGGACAGCAAAAGCTGTACTGAGGGGAAAATTCAGAGAAATGCAGACATATATCAGGAAACAAAAAAGAATTCAAATAAATAGCCTAATCTCACAATTTGAGATTAGGTACTATGGTTTCATCCCGAGAATATCATTCTTATCTGGCAACTCTTCCACCCAGAGCTGCATTTGTCTGTCTAGTTTCTCTGCTCAAGACAGAGCAGGAAACAACTCATCTACGCTGCAGAAAATCAACAAACTTCTTGAGCATCAAGCTCACCAGTGAGGTATCCCCAGTTATTGATTTCTGCTCTTCTTTCTTAACAGAATTCACATTTTTTGTAATGGTTTGCCTATTAGGAAGTAAACAAGTGGGCCATTTATTAAAATATTAAAAAGCTAAAAATAAACTAAAACTGACCTAAATTTATATATGTATATATATATATATGCTAACATTCACTATGAATTTCTCCTAAAGCAGAACATACCCTACTCCTGATGTTTCTCTGTAGATATTTTTGTTATTGTTGATGTTTTCCTCTCTCTAGTCAATTAAATGATAGTGTATGTTAACAAATGTGATGGTTAAGGTGGGTCATAAGACAAGTTATTATTGATGTCTTAAGAAGCAGAAAGTCTAGGCCAGTGTATCTTGGTGTGTGGTCCAGATACCCGTGAATAGCTTCAATATGATTCAGAGAACACCTAAGGTCAAAACTACTTTCAGATAATATGATGTTGCCACTCATTCCTCATTTTCACACTCATTTCCTCATGAGTGGAGAGAGTATGGAAGATTTATTGATAGACTCCCCAATTCCACATTGTAGCATCTTTCAAACACCTGGCTGTACTAAGTTTTATTTTTGAATCTAAGAAGTCTATAATTATATGGAGAAAATTTTAAAGCCTATCTTTTTCAGCACCATAGCTGTTCAATGCTAGACTTTTCTAATTTATCTAACCAAAACAGTGTATTACAGCTGATATAACATAGAAGCCTGGGTCAGCCGCATGCAAGGCAAACGCTCTACCCGCTATGCTATCACTCCAACCCATATATAAATGTGAACAAGGAAAATGTGTATAGTGAATTACATATATTTCAGTCCTATATTACTTGCTTCGAGGGGTGTCAAAAATCTCAGTCCATCTTCTTTTCACTCTTATTTTCCAAGCAAACAGTCTTAATTTCTAAACAAATACACATTTCACCCAAGTTCTTGAGTCTATATTCGTTTTTCTCCTAATACAGCACAGGGTGGAAATAGAGACTCATTCCATTTGTTTGACACCATGCTCACTGAGCTGTTGGAAAGTACCCTGCTGCAAGTGTAACATGTCCACATATTAGCATATATTCATAGACACATCCCTGTACAGAAGACATGGGGCTTTGTGGAAGCAGAGAAATCCAGAAGAAACTTGGCTCTTTTTCAGGAGGTATAATTTCTGGGTGTGGGTTAGTACAGGGATACCTTGTACATGGCCAATTCCAACTCAATCCCTGACACCACATATGTTCCCCCAAATGCCACCAGTGAGTGAGTGACCCCTGAGCACTGCCATGGCTAGCCCACCTATCCCACAGAAAAACAACTTCTGGTTTTATATATGCAACAGTATTTTCTAATGAAAGAACCATGATTTGCAAAGCTATTGATAGTTGAATATTAGGCATGTGATGTTCTAGCACCAATCCTACCATCAGTGTCAACTTCCCTCTACCAGTATTCTCAAATTGCCACTCAACCCCCAACACACACACACACACACACACACACACACACACACACACACACACTCCCATCAGCCTGACTATATGACAGGCACTTTTTAAATTTTGGTCGTTGTAGTTTGGATCTTATGTTTTCAGCGTGGTTGATGCTGGTTTGGATATGTAGCTATACCATTCTCCCACATTGCCAACATAAACCAAGGTTCTTGATCCCTGGATGGAGAAATATTTTTATACCAGAACAATATAGATAATAACAATATAGAAATTATTATAGATAATATAATAATAATATAATAACAATATAGATAATAACAATACAGACCAGGATGAATATTACTAAATCTCAGCTGTCAAAACATAGAATTTATTTATATATACATCACAATGTAAATAGGCAAAAGAAGTTCAACTTGCTGGTGCCTGGCTTTCTTTAGAAAATGGTTAATGTCTCTCTATTCTGTTTTTGTTTGTGTGTTTTTGTTCCTAGGGGAAAATAAGTTGGTAGGGGACCTTCTGGTGTTAGGAGGAGCCACTCTATATGGGATCTCTAACGTCTGGGAAGAATATATCATCCGAACCCTCAGTCGAGTGGAATTCCTGGGAATGATTGGACTCTTTGGTGCATTTTTCAGTGGAATTCAATTGTGAGTAAAAGGAATCCAGAAGTAGATATTTTCAGTGCTTGTTCTTACTGTCCCTTCCCCATAAAATCTTGAAAATTCATTATCTTTATTAGTTAACTTATCCCAAATTTAACAAGTTTATTACAAATTATGATTAAAACAAATATGGACTTTGTAGATAATTTACAGGAAATCATTAGAGGTAATTGATTATTCTAATTCAACCAAGGGTATTTTTTTTAGAAAATTAAAAACTAAGTGTAAACACATGATTTGATGGGTTTTTTTATTTGTTTTCTTGTGGAGGGGGGTGATTTGGGCCATACCCAGCATCACTTAGAGGTTATTCCTGGCTTTGTGCTCAGGAATTACTCCTGACCCTGATGGTACTCAGGGGACCATATGGGATGCGGGGGATCAAGTTAGAATTGACTACATGCAAGGCAAACTGTACTTTCTGTACAAGTTGTACCCACTGTACTATTTTTCTGCCTTCTTGATGTATTTTTTAAAAACAAATATTCTACTTACTAATAAAAAATTATAGGTTAAATTACCCTTTTATAAATATGTTCTTTTATTGCCCACATATACACATATACATGAGTGAACTATATTTCAAATTCATCCTTAGAAATTTCATATTTCTTTAAATAAAAAGATAAAATGCAGACAATTTCACAATAATTCTGACACTTGAGCGCATCACTGACTAGTGCCTATGAAATTGCTGTGCAAGTAAGTGTTCAACAAAGCATACTTCCGATCAATAAAATCCATAGTTAAAACTTTACAAGAAGTAGAGAATAATAATATGATCACCAGTGTAATTTCACCAAATCCTTTTCTACAAAGCAAGTAATTCTAACTTTACCAAATCACTTTCTGCAGACTGGTACAGTGTAATGTGTCACTGTCCGAAGTTATTTATGGAGGACAACTTGCCCTTAACTTAAACTTATTTTCACATATAATCTGTTTCAAAAATATTTTTCAATTTCATTATTCTAAGATACAGGTGAAAGCTTTTAACAAAGAAAGCACAGAGATGGAAAGACAGAGAAAGATTTCATTAGGGTTCATTTTAAAAGTAGGATGGCATTATAAAGCTCAAAACTTGGTACTCAGCTTGGTGAAATGAAAAGAAATTGTCCCATTCAACTATTTATAACCAACATTATATAGATGGATAGCTCATTTTATGGATTATTATTCTTGTCTCAAAAAATACGTATCCCAAACTCTAGCACACATTTGTGTCAGTTACAGTCCATTAGAAAAAACTGAGTCCTTCAGGGAACATTGCTGCCAAAATAATAGCAGTAGGTGTGTTTGGAGGAAAGAGATAACCTGACAGTGTACTGGAAGCAAAGAGGCTCTAGAGGTATGGTGCCAACCTCCCCTCCTCATCCTCTTACAGAGCAGTGGCTCTCCAAGAATGGTTTCTCACAGCACTTGGCATTACCTAAGACCTTATGCACATCCAAGGGCCTCCCCCGAATCTCATATAAAAACCAGATTCCGTAAAAAAAGGAGGCCCAGAACATTGTTTTGAACACATTCTACAGATGAATTTATTTACATTTTAAATTTTTGTTGAGCATTTTAACTTTTATTCATTTTAAATTTGAAAATCCTTACCATAGAGAAAACTCACTCAGAAAATGGTTAGAGCTTTGAGCACAGAACCTGCTTGAACCTTAACATTTGTGATATAATCTTGTTGATCAGTGTACTTTTTATTTTTTAAATTTCCAGAGCTATAATGGAGCACAAGGAGCTGTTAAAGGTGCCCTGGGACTGGCAAATAGGTAAGGAAGGGGTGTTCACCTTAAGATGTTAAACTTCGTAAACCTGAGAAATATGTTTGAAAGGATTTTTAATGCAAAGAACAAAAAGAAAGTGAAATCCCTTGTCAGTTTAAGAAATTCTTTCGTGCTGAAAGAATCTGAGCTGGATGTTTCCTAATGTTTCCTAATTGAGCTTACTCTCCCATTATCATCATCAAGATGCCATTAGTGTAGACACAAAATACGTTATTAGGTTAAAGACCAACCAGAAAGAAAAAAAATGCCCTGAAGCTATGGGGGGACAAAATGACAGTAATTTGCTCTAGCCAAGAATCACAAAACTGATGTGATCGTTAAAAAAATGCACTTTACTAAAGGAAAAACCTGAACTTAACAAAAAGGCATAAAAGCAAACAGTATAATAAGCTTTTGAACTCATAAAACCTTTCAGAAGGGAACAGTTTGCACATAAGAAATGGCTGACTGATCTCCAAATGGACACGGTGGGAAAGACTAGACAGACTTTTAGGTAGCTAACAGTCATCCAGGCATTTCAGATATCACCTATTTCTTTTTTTAAAATTTTTTTTTATTAGTGAAACACCATGAGATACAGTTGTAGATTTACAATTTTTTGTGCTTGGGTTTGATTATACAATGATCAGATACCCATCCCTCCACCAGTGCCCATTTTCCACCACCATGGATAATATCCCCCCACCCCCATCCCCCCATCCCCCCCTGCCTCTGTGGCAGGGCAATCCCCTGGATATCACCTGTTTCTAAAATCATTTTTCTCTAAAATTATTTAGGATGATGTTCTAAATAAGTCCAAGTTCTGTACCCAATAAGCTGTCCCCTCCATGTTTATGCCATCATACTTGGATTTGAGCAATGTACATAGGACTTGGCTGTTGGGGGAGGGGACTTCATAAATGGGAGCACAACCAATGCAATTAGGAGAGTGGATAAAAATGCAGGCAGTCTACACACACGTATGTGCGCACACGCGCGCACACACACACACACACACACACACACACACACCCCACAAACCCTATCTGCTTAGGTCCTGCTTAAATGACCTTTAATGGATTCAAAGTTTTAGTCAAATTTTATTTTTACATCCACCAGCATGGGCAATAATATCAACCTCTCACCATAACTGTCCTCCCCCTAACTTCCAAGTATCCAAGGAAAACTTGATTCTCTCCCAGGACAAAGACATACAGAGCTTCACAGTTATGTGTGACTTCAAAGTGTCTTCCAGTGCTGATCAGCCCCGAGTCTGTCACAGACTCTGCCATTTCATTTCTCTCAAGTTTTGCTATGGACTATTACAATGAAATGAAAATCTATAGAGAGGAGGGTATGGAGTGGAAGAGGAGGGAAGCTGGGAAAAGAAATTAGCCACAAGTTAAAGCTGTATTTGCCTTTGTGATGCCCAAAGATAGAAAACAAATTGTCACCCTCATCTGATAAATTTAGTGTAAAAGTGGATTTTCCTGCACTTGAAAAATGTTTGAGAGATTTGCATACAAAACTCAGATCATTAAGAAGATAATGTTTATTATACAGTTTCAAAAGATGTGTCCCATCACCCAACATCTTAAATCATCCTAAATAATTTTAAAGAAAAATGATTTTAGGAACAAGTGGGATCTGAAATTCTGGATGACTGTTAGCTACCTAAAAGTTGGTCTAGTCTTGGAACCAGAGCGATAGTACAGCGGGTAGGACATTTGCCTTGCATGTGGCCGACCTGGGTTCGATCCCCGGCATCCCACATGGTCCCCCAAGCACTGCCAGGAGTAATTTCTGAGTGCATGAGCCAGGAGTAACTCCTGAGCATCACTGGGTGTAACCCAGAAAAAGCAAAAAAAAAAAGTTGGTCTAGTCTTTCCCACATGTACAGGTCAAGTCACTCATATCTCATCTGTCTGTCTATCTTTCTGTCTGTCTCTTTCCCTTTCTTTCTCTTTCCTCTTTCTCTCTCCTCTCTCTTTCCTCTTTCTCTGTCTCTCTCTGTCTCTCTCTCTCTGTCTCTCTCTCTCTCTCTCTCTCTCTCTCTCTCTCTCTCTGATGTGTCTCACTATGTTCTGGTCACCTCCAGCGTACAATGATCTGGTCTTGTCTATGCCAATCTCACCTTCAGTTTTCATGTTCCTAATCTTGATTCTGTCTACATGAGAGGAACCCTGTCATCTATGTTCCCTGGCTGGGACTTGCCGCTCTATACCCGTCACTGGTTCTCTCTCATACTGTATCCCAGCAGTTCCTTGTCATCTAGGTTTTCCTTAGTGTCCAGCCACAGTCATGTGGGCGAGATCCCTGTACTCTCTGTACCTTATCTGTGGCTATCTGTGCATTCCAGCCCTGCTTGATTTACCTTCTGTCTGGGTGTTGATGAGGAAAGCAGAGACCATAAAGAGCTTTCTAATTCATCCCGTTGTTATTTTTGTCATTCTCCCCATTTCCTGGCTGAGACTTCCTTTCGCCAGCTGCTATTTTTCACCCTAGTCATCCTATCATCTATTCTTGATTAGATACCTTTTTCCAGCAGGTGAGATTAAAACTGGATTAGATTAACCTTAGATTAATGAGTTTATCTGGCACTCCACCCTTCTATTCTCACTGGATCACTAACATTTCATATCCAGTGGACTGTGAGCATAAATTAATTCTATATTAATAGCAATAGCAGTCATAAAAATAATGTGCTCTCTAATTATGTGCATGTCCTGTGCAGGTTCACTAAAGTCCTGTTGTAATTTAGTGCTAGTTAAATGTATCATACAAACACAGTTCTATTCTGAGCTCTCCTTTTGCCATTAGAATAGCAATCTCCTGTTGTTTGGAATGCAGAAAGGCTGTATAAAATGAACATGCTGTAAAGCTATCCATTTAGTCCCTAACTTGAAATGAGACTAAAATGATCTAGAAAGGGAACCAAGTATCCATTCATGTTCTGTAACGAGGCATTGGAAGGATTGGGTTGAACTTTTTTATACCAGAGTCACATTTGTCTTCATTACCTTATCCTGACTGCCTACAAGTTTCCATTTTTTAAGTTCATTTTAAGCACATAGAATGCAGTAAATGAATATTTATTAAATAAGCAAGGGTTGAAAGACGGTGGAAGGAAACCTGGTCAAGTTGCAGCAACTGTGTTATAGTGTAAGAATTGCTGTTCTTTGTTTGCCGGATGGCAGATCTTTATTGGGGTTTCAGTATTGCAGTCCCAGAATGAGACCCAGGAAACACTTGAGCCACCCAAGTAGCACAGCAGGGAACATGCTAATGTGGTGGGGATGGAATGGAGGAGGGTGGGGCAGACAGAAGAGACAGAGATGTGGGGGCAGGCAAGGTTCAGTGTGTGGACTATACAGTTTTCTTATGCAAATGAACTTTTCAGTCAGTGTTCTAATTGGTGGGAAGCTGTCAAGTGGCAGTTTGTGAGATTTCAATCCTAGGGAGCTTGCTTGCCAGTGTTCTTTCATTTTCTTCTCAGTAGCATGCACATCTGGGTGTGCTGAAACATGCTGCTTCGCAGCCTCCTGACTCTGGTTCTTGCCCAGGCTGGATGTGGCTCTTTGTATGTTTCTCTTTTCTATATCATTTACCAAAAGTTAAGGGATAAGCACACCTGCCTCCTTTTCCCAAAAAAATTACAAACAGAAAGGAAGCTGTGGAGACCAGGGCAAAGACTTTAAGGCTTGACATTGCACTTTCTGGAGAATGGCAATAAAATATCAGCAGTTGGCACTTGTGAACCAGAGAAACAGAGAGATGACAGGATGGAGTCAACATCCTAAAATTCACTGCTTTACTTGAGAAGTGTTGAGTTCTGATCACAGAGCACAGTGCAGAATTAAGAAACCGCATTCTAAAATGGTCTTTATCTCCCACCATCTGTCTCTCTACATCAGTAAGTTCTCTCAAACTTTTCTCGGATAGTTTATATGGCTGCTCTTTATTAAATTAAACATTTTTTCTACTGAATAATAAGAAAAAGTAAATGTTTTATGATTTCTGGATTTAGAGAGCATTCTTAAAGAGTTTTATGATTGGCCAATTGGAAGAAACAAATATTAATAGGAAGAAAATAGCAAATATTATTTGTTTTTATTTATTCATTTTACTCTATTGAGCTGAAATGTCATTAAATTTAAGTAAAATATAACTTAATAGAATTGAAAAATTCACATCTAGAGTGGTGTGTTGGAGTTACAACTGGAAATCTAATAAATAGCTTAAACATTCCCTTTAGCTCATTCACTATAATGTGTTCAAGGACATGTACAAATGTAAGCTCACCTATAAGGAGAGGCTTCACTTTTCCCGTTGGTGGTGATGTTTGGATTGGTTTTAGCTTTTGGCTTGGAGGTCAAAGAAGGAGACTTGTCTTTTCTTTGAAAATGGAATATTGGGACAATAGATCAGAAAAGACCTTAAAGGTAACCGGGAATATACCCTCTTTAGTTAAGGATGTGAATCAGTTGCGGAACACATTTTTTTTTAATTTTTGGGTCACACTTGGCGTTGCACAGGGGTTACTCCTGGGTCATGCACTTAGGAATTACTTCTGGAGGTGCTCAGGGGACCATATGGGATGCTGGGAATCGAACACAGGTTTGGCAGCATGCAAGGCAAATACCCTACCCACTGTGCTATCACTCCAGTTCTGTGAAACACATTTTTGCATATATGAGGCCCTGAATTCTGTGCTCTGAACCCTCTAAAAGTAATATATCTTGTATTTTTACCAGCATTAAATTAAAGAGATGATGTTTGAAGCAACTTGGGCAGATTCAGAGTTCTGTGTGCTGGGAGCACCATGGACTACCTGAATAAGCCCTGCCTGGCTAGTAACCTTTACTGACCAGGTTGTTATTCTAAATAACAATTTACCTAGACTTGAATTTTTAATTTTATATATATAATTAATTTGATTAAATCATTCATAAGTCATGCAGCATTCCATCTAATAGTAGAAAGGGTTTTTTTTTAAAGATGTACAA